AGTACCTAATTGATTAAGGAAAACTTGAAAGTGGATTTGACGTGTTTTGTAGTTAGTAAGTTTCTGTATAATGCTGCTCCTTAGCAATCCCTTGCACTAGCGGATCCAGGATTTAATTTTGGGGGTAGGCTTCAGCCCGAAAGATTTTTTTTCATATATATAAAATTAATTTGAAAAAAAAAGAAAGAAATGACCTACCTATATGAAATGGTATTTAAGTGATTTCTGAAGTCCTATTAAATGTAATTAAACGAACAATAATACTTTAAGAAATAGTTTTTAATATTTTTTTCTATAAAACATGGTTATATTTTACCGTTTTGGGGGAGCTTCAGCACAAAAGCCTCTCCCGTAAATCCGGAGCAATGCCTGAAACGTTGTTGAAAGTTAATGTATCAATATAAAAAGTACATTGTTTCAACAAAAATATATTTTGCTCTAAGATTAAAAAATAATCGTTATCTCGATTGAAAGAAAAAAAAAAAATAGAAGAAGACGAAAAAACTCTAGAATTCTTGAATGCGATAAAATACGAAGAAATAATTTAAGATAACGGTGTTGCCAATGACCACCCTAAAGAGTAGACAACAATAAATAAATAAAGTGACCAATCACTCCTTAAATATGAATTATTTTCACCTATAGAGTTGATAAAATGGCAATGATAAGATGCTTGATGTCTCCTACACACAAGCGGACACTATCGAAAAAAGTTTCCTATCTCGATGAGAGACCATGCTCTTCACAAAAGCCTGCCGTTCAAGGTCTGCAGAAACACAGATAAAGAACGGAAACCTTGATTTGTACAAACAAAAATTTTTTTTCGTATTGGATAGTATTAGGAAGAATTACATTAGTGACTTAATTAACCACTCACAGACCTCTCCCGGGACCATACGTCGTTAGACCATACCTCGGGACTTACATCCACTCCACATTCCAAAATGGCCCTTGGAATGCTAACTCCGCCCCCACCTCCACCATCCTTAGGCTTGGGCTAGCGCCACACATAAACGGGCGACTGCTAGCTTTGATAGCCCCGCCGGAGAGCAATATAATGACAGAGGCTGCTGTTAGCGGACTATAAAGCCCAAGCCGTTCTATGTTTACCGCTCCAGGAGAACTTTGACCTCGCCACGTGCCTTCTCAGCCCGGTCCACGTCTCCTCAGATCCAGATTGTAATTTTTTTAAGCTTCTCTTATTTTATTTTTTTGCTAATAGATGATTTATTATTAGATGTCACTACTGGCCTAATGCGAAAACACCATTACTATATGCTTCTTAAAGAAAATATCGTCCCGCTACTTCTGAATGAAACAGAAAATAAAGGACAAAAAATGCTTTAGGTTTGATGTTCTATGTTTCTCTGTTTTGTGTTGTTTACTTTTCCCTTTGAAATGTGGCTATAGAGACAGACTGAATTGAATTGAATTTAATGTATAAATTTACCTTAATATGCAAGGGTATATGCACATTGATCATTTATAAAGGCCCCTACACACTGAGTGTGATATGTTTTGGTGATATATTTTTATTGCTATCTATTGCATTATAGCAGCCACACAGAGCGCGATGATCCGCAGCGATACCGATAAAGGGTACTGTATCGTCGGGACATATCGCGTTCTGTGTTTAGGAGGCAAAATATTATCGAATTATTTATTGCAAATTTAAAATCGGACTTTTGTTGGGACTTATGAAGGTTCTAGCAGCACTGGTGGTTTTCGGGCTATAGAAGCCCTCTGAAATAAAATATAATTTTTTTTCATTGATTCATAATTTTTTAAATGTTCTGAGATAATACTCAAACAATCGTTATATCTACTCTTTTCAAATTATAACTTATAATAAAACTACTGTATGTAAGCTTCAATCAAGAAAATTATTCCTAAAAGAATTATTGTTTCTATAATTAGGTTTTATTTTGTTTTATTATTATTTATTTTTAAAAAAGCAATTAAGGACCAATTAAACTTCATTTTATATAGTTTATTGTAGCAAAAAATAAATAAAAAATTAAATCTCACCCTCTAAATTAAAATTTTGAATCCGAAATTTTTTTTTTTTATATGTTATTGTCTTATTAAACTATCAAAACTCCTCTTCCCCCCTCCAAAAAAAATAAAAAATAATTTTTTTTTCGTCTGACCATATTTGTTTCTGTGTAATGTGACCCAATTATTCGAACAGAATATGTTCTATTTTTTAATGTATTTTAGATACTAAATAAAAACATTGTCCAATTTTATACCTAATAGCATTATTAATACTGCAATTAAAAAAAAAAAATCTAACACACCGAAATTCAATCTAGAACCCGCTACTGCTTTGTTGAAACGGTAGTGTTTAGGAAACTTTTAATAGTTTTCTAACATATCGTTTCGAATTAATGATCTCAGTACTATACCGTACGTTTATGTATAATTTTAGATGAATATTATATTTACTATGGAAATAACTCCATCACGCATACAGATATTTTTTTTATATCTACAGCGATAAAAAACCATCTTCTATAAAATAAGTGGCATAAAATAATGCATCATTCTTTGTTAGTTATTTTTCTCGCAGTATCTTAATTTATGAGACAGTTTACTTTAATTATAGATTTCATCGCCATTCAAGTTATCTCTTCTTATTAATTTGAAATGCGTGGGATCTCTAATCGCATTGGTTATCATTTTCATTATTAATATAATATAGTTTTTCGAACTCCATAATAAACTATTATTATTAGATTAAGTTCACTTTCCACTTTTTGAGTTATTTTTTCTCAACCCCAATGTCTCTCAAGAACGAAGTTGAACTCGAAGAAGCAGTTGAAAAATTTACAAGCAGCTTACAACTGGCTGTATGGTAACCATCCCTATTACATTAGAGATCTGATCAGGGCAAACAGAAGAGCCCGCTAAATATGGCAGACCAATCGGCTTCCATCTGACAAACAGACATTCAATAGACCTAATAATGAACTTAAACGAAAGATTCTGAATTTCAAAAGAACAAACTACGGCAATTACATCACCAACTTTTCGACTGACGATGGATCAACTTATTGAGATAGATCAAAAAGCTTGTAAAGCATCGTGAGGTGTGCGCACCTCTCCGAAACGAAGACGGTTCCTGAGCTGTGTCAGACTTTGAAAAATATGAGCTTTTTGGCAAAGATATTTTTTTATGTTCTTACACCTCTTAATGACTACTGTACTCTTTCAGCACTCTGTAATACTGAACACGAGAGACGTATAAAACACTTTAGATATTCCATTACTATTGCCATTACCTCCATCTTACTTTACCTCTACTCAAGTCGTGGAGCAAATTGGACAATTACTTAAAACAAAGCCCCTGGCCATGATCAAATATATGCTTAAATACTCCAGAAAATGTCAAGGAAAACTCTACTGTACGTAACATTAATATATAAAGGAATAATATAATGTAATGAATTGCGCATTACGTTTTGTTTTCGGAATCCCAAGAGATACGCATATTACCCAGTATTACATTTCCAGGCGAGTGGAAGTAGCTCTGTTCATCCTATCGCATCCTATGTATCAGGTCATCGACCCTCCGATATTTTTGCACAGCTTACAATTTAAATACTCCATCCAATCCCATCCCACTAGATCTCGTACTTCCGATCTCTATACTCCTCCTCACCGGACTACTGCATTTGAAAAATCATTTGCAATTCAAGCTACCTCCCTTGGAATTCTCTGACATTCGACACGCACAAACAGTTTTCTCTTTCAAACCTCTCCTCTTTAAACACCTACTCCTTTCTCAATCCGACTGATTACAAAATATACCTAAGAGAGCTATGTAAGTACCCCCAGAGACTATTTATATGTTATTTTAGTTCCCTTTGGTTGTTTTATATATATGTACGCTTTTTATCTTTCTTCTGTATTTTTACTTTTTTAAATTAACTGTTATTGTAAATATTTAATTTATTTATGACCACACATACGATTAGTCTTTTCTTACAATTTGTTCTAAAGGGACAACAGTCTCAGAATAATAAAATATATTTTCATTTCAATACTCAGAATGACCTAATTTCCCTTACAGTGAAAATATTCATACATTATAATGATTCACAAACCAAAACAAGAACACCGACTTCCCCTTATCACAAAGACCCATTAGCCTGTTCACTATATGTTCCAAAATGTTTGAGAAAATCCTCTACAAGACACTTCTTGACATACTGGCAAACGAAAACATAATACCTGAACATCAATTTGAATTCCGAAGCCACCATTCATTAATTACACCGAGTGACGGGCTACATAACAACGGCACTAGAGCATAAATTATAAGCAAGAGGAGTATTTTTAGATGTTGCTCAAGACTTCGATAAAGTCTGGCATCAGAGGCTTCTTTTCAAACTTAAGATACTCACTTCAACCCGCCACTTGCGTAGACGATACAACAATCTTAACAAGACATCAAAACCCAGTACACGTTTAATAGACTTTACAATACCACCTGATTAAATTTCACGACTGATGTGAACTCACAAAAAATTCGAAGGAAAATCTTGTCGTTCGATCTTTTCTTTCTGATAGATTTTTCTCAGTCTGCCAAGGCACAGTTTTCCAAATCAGATTTATATTAATTATTTTACTATAATTTGTCATTAATTAATTTATAATGTTTCAGCTTAAATCAGTATCTTTATTTAATCATAGAATTTATTCAAGTAAAATAATTTTGTTTTTAGAAAATAAAATTTAATTTTTTTAAATTACTAGAATTAATTGAAAACATTTAGATGAATAGTTATTTGTTTATATAATACTTAAATATATTTTTTGGGGGCTGCCGACTTAATTTATTAAAAAAAAATTGTTTAAGCATGTATATCTGAATATTAATTTTAAATTTCTTTAAAATAGCTTTTCTAAATAATAAAAAAAATGCCAAAATTTTTAACATACATTAACGATTCTAATAGCTAAATTGTTTTTTTTTTTATGTGAGTTAAAAAATGCTAGAGTTGCGCCGTAGTGTAAGCAGACTGGGGTGAGTCAACCGGCCGTGTTGCAACTCTTACGTCACCGGGAACATCTGAAAGGGAGATTAAAAGGGGTGTTGCTTCTTCCTTTGTGCTACTCTTCCTTAGAGGACCGTCTTCCAGAGGGCTTGCCTCTTTACAATTATTTAGATAATGGATCTTTGAACTAATTGAGAGTTTCAGGCAAATAATTGGGTTGGCAAATAAGTCCTTCCGATTTTTATGTCCTACCATATACTTCTTTCTGCATGGGCGTTCTTTATGTAAGGGAGAGGGTAGGAAGAGCCGTCGCCTCTCCTCGCTCTAAATAATATTAAATAAAATAAAACTTAATATATAAAAATGAAAATAAAATATGTGTTTAAGCAATTGGGTTTATTACAATACATCCCAGATTATAGAAAAACAGAAAATAAAATCTTTTCAACAACTAGTTTTAGTAATTTTTGCTGAAAACAGGGATTTTTTTAGGATAAAAAATTTAATTTTTTTACACAACTTGAGATCAATCTCAATATTTTCCCTAATAAAGCTCCACTTAATTAATACGGACTTAAATATTATTAAACGAAGAAGGTCTTGTAAAAGTGGGATAACAGTAGTATAGTTAGATGATGATAATAAAATATTGGGAATAACTAATGATTTTTTAAAACTATTAACTCCATATTTATATTCAGAAGAATCAGAAAGAAACGGACTTAAAGATATAGAAAATAACATTTTTAAACAAGTAATTTACTAGGCAATAACTAAAATAAACATGGATAGGAACATCTTAGACACATTCCAGAATTAAAAATGCCGCGTTGGATAAAAGACAGATCCTTGATTAATAAATCCATGACTAAAATCGCAAAAATATATCCAGTTGAAATACAAAAATCTTTTTTAAAACTGATAGAACAATATAAAAATTTCGATTTTATATATACGGATGCATCCAAAGAAGGAGATAGCGTAGGATGTGATTTAGCGAGTAAAGAGAATCACTTACTGTTTAAATTACCTGGAGGATGCTCCGTATTTAAAGGAGAGGTGACTGCCATCATGAATGCTTTATATCTTATTAGCGAAGCTAAAAGGAACTACTGGGTAATTGTGACGGACTCATATGGTGTCTTAGCTGCCATTGATAACCCATATCCTAAAAATTCCATAATTAGAGAAATACTCAACATTTGGTGGGAGGTAAAAAATAACAGTTGTCTTGGTATGGGTACCAGCTCATTGCGGAATTTTAGGGAATGAAAAAGCTGATAATGCAGCCCATTTAGCAAGAAGTGGAGGAGAAGAAGAGGTTGAAATATATCACTTTAGAAGACTGGGTACACGAAATAAAGAAAAAACAACTGGCAGAGTGGGAAAAAGAGTGGAGGATCAAAGAGTGTAAGCTGAAAGAAGTGAAACCCAATGGCTCACTAGCAACAGAAGGTCCAGGCGTGAAGAAATTATACAGTGCCGCCTTAGGATTGGGCACTGCCAGTTCACACATAGCTTTTTTTATTATTTTTTTTGTTCCTCCCCTTCCTCGCCGATAAGGCTATACGGGGTTTTCCCTGGCCAAAGGGTGTGGGCTGGGATTTTAAAAGACGCCTTGGCACCGGGACGCGAACTCAGATCTATTTTTATATCATTTATCATATATCAGGTTCCTGTGCACAACGCGTTAGCCCATTCGGCCACCCCGCCCACTAGTTCACTCATAGCTATCTTTTAAGAGGCCTAGAAGTTCCTACTTGCGAAAAATGTAATAATACACCTCAAACTGTGAAACACCTTCTGGTAGAATGTCACCAATTCGAAAGCCACAGAAAAAAAATAGATTTAGGAAAAACACTATACGATATTCTACAATATAATGAAGAGCGAGTCTCTATCGTGTTTAAATTTTCAAAGATTGCAAGTTACTATAAAAGAATATAATTTATAGAAAACGCCAATGATCCTTTAGGGTAAAGACGAGAAAAAGAGGGAAAAAAAAATACTGTTGTTATTGCTTTCGATTCAACAGAAAACAGGACTCACTTAAAAAAAACAACACAAAACTTGGATTACCTACTTTTCTGCTGAAAATTATCACATTGTTTATATGAACTTTTTTGTTGCTCTTGATGTCTGCTATCTGGTATCGAAAATTCTCCTCTCCTTACGGGAAATCTTCTATATTGTATTGCAGTTTGATAAGGGGCGGGTGAGCAGTTGGCACTTCACCAATCCATCAGGCGGTCAATATTCCTTCTCATATCCCATATGCCTTCGTGTTGCAATGAAGGGGTCTTCTTAAGCTATTTCCAAGCTAATTTCATCTTGCATTATTGGTAAATAGTAAATTAATTTGCAATAAATATTTTAGATAAAAACAAATTCAGAAAATTACTTGAATAAGAAATGCTATTGAAATTGTGTGGACCGACGTATTGGTAACATTAGCATTTTTACTTTACGTGTTTTAAACATTTTTGGTTTTTGATTATAGCATTACAAATATGAAATAGCAATATCATAATTTATAAAAAAAAAAAAAAAAAAAAAAAAAAAAAAAAAAAAAAAAAAAAAAAACAGAAAGCAAATTCCTTGAAATAATAAAGAAATGTAGGAGATAAAAACGTTGTAATTATTATATTTTTGTTGTTGAGCTATCATATAAAGGGAGGAGGCATTGAATAAGTACATGTATATTGCGATTTTGTTACATCGGTAAACATATTATAAGTAGAAAAATAGGGAAATTCCTAATTATATCTGATTATAATACAGTGTATGAAGAACGATTACAATACGAAATGAAGATTTAAAATCATTGTATAGTTATTTATAGAGCAGGATAACCAATTATGTCGTTACAGCAAAGGTACATGGTTGTGTTGTTTAGCCAAATTAGATTTGATCAAAAAATGTATAAATTTTATAGTTGGGAACAAACTTCATTCCTCGAAAAATTATTGCAAAACATTGTTACCAATATTTATAACCAGTTCAAAAATAAACAAGTAATATTGTGTTTAAATAGGAAATAAATTTATTATTTTAAGGTCTCGAAATTTGCAACATATAAGTAAAAAGATCAAATCAATAACAGTTGGAAAATTAAAATATTTCTTTACTCAGTAATTACATCTCATCTTTTTAAAAATAAAAACACTGGGATTTTCGTTTCAAAATTGTAAAATTTATGTTCATTTCCTCTTTCTCCTCTAAAAAAACGTGAGTAAGGATATATCGATGTCTTTGAATTTGTGTTTTCATTATAGTTCTAATCATAATCATACCGCTTTATTATAAAAATAAAGGCACGAAGAATTTTGATTATGTAGTTTTAAATTAAGATATAATTAAATAGTTTTTACTTTATAATAAATGGCCTAAGTGTGACTAACGTTTATAACATGGATTTGTAAAAAAAAAATGGTGAAATAGAGTAATACTATTTCCTAAGTGTAGAATTACGGAAATATAAGTGCGCTCAACAGATTAAAAAAGAGTTGTGGTTACGATTAATTATTTTGAAATTATGTAATGATATTACACCACCCTTTTGCCTATACATACTTACCAGCAATATACTACTGGTATTGGTGGGGGTCAAGCAAGTGGACCTATTGCTCATTTTTGTCAACCCCAATGACAATATTACCAATGGTTGTCTATTATACCTCCAACTTTGTCTCAAATCTTTTTGTTCTTCTAATGAAGTTCAAAAGGTTGGACCATTTTATAGAGGTAGTTTCAAGTACTTGTATTCTGTCTGTGCCCAAAAGTCGGTATCTGAATGACGCAAATCGGTCACATTCTGTTATGAAGTGAAGGGCAGTTTCTGATGCACTTCTGCAAAGATTGCAGAGTTCATCATCCACTATCCCACAGATCTTTAAATGTCTTTTAAATCTGCAGTAGCCTATTAGTACTCCGATGATGAGTTGGACTTCTTTCCTGGTTAGGCCCAGCAACCACTTAGTTTTGGAGGGGGGGGGGGATTTTTGATAAATTCTTTGGCTTGTTTAAACCCAGTACATTCCCTCCATTCTTTAACTGCTCTTTTCCAAAATCCAAGGTCTTCTTTCCGCTGATGTTTTTTGGATATTACTATTGCAGGTTCTGTACCTACAATAGTAAATTCTCCTGCTTTCCTTGCAAGAGCATCTGCTTTTTCATTGTCTTTAATTTCCTTAAGGCCAGGAACCCACACTAGTTCCACTCTCTTAGAGCAAAGCCTGTTCACCCTCCTATACCAGTGTGGAGGTCACTTTGGGAGACTCCAATGCTTGTAGTGCCCACTGAATATCCGAATATATAGTGACGCCAGCATTCTCGCTGTTAGTAACTTCTAGACAGGCGGCTGCAGAAAGTAAAGCAAACACCTCTGCTTGAAATACTGTAGCATGTTTAACTAATGGTATGCTTAATTCTATATTTAGGTTCTCTATATAGACTCCTGCACCCGTTAAACTAGTTGAGTCTTTCCTCGATCCATCCATGAAACAGGGCAGGTAGTTCTTTTGAGTTTCTACTGAACCCTGTGCCCAATCTGTTATGTTAGGGTACAGATAGCTAATCTTACAGTCTAGCAATATACTATGAAATAAATTATTTATCTTGTATCTGTCTCGAGATAAGTTAATTCAATTACAGATAAACTATACTTCATTGAAGTATATTGTAAAGTTAGTGCGGAAAGTTCTTATAAATAATCTGTTCAACACGTATTATAGACCACACTTGACCTAAGTTGGCACCATTTGGCTGTTTTATTTTCACAAAAGCAAGATATAACCATTTTCATATGAATTTTCTAAACAAATATCGTGATTTATACGTCTGATTATTATAAATTTTATTTGTGCTATTTTCTTTCTTGAGAGCGGAGTTTAAGTGACGCGTCCCATTTTTTAACATCAATTGATTAAATTGACCCCATCCGGCCATTTCGAGCTAGGCCATGCGTGCCAATCTTACCTTTTAACGATAACTGATCTATTTCTGCCCAGTCTTTAAATCAAAAGGAATTATGATGGACTCAATTGAAATACATTAGTGGTAAACCTATATATAAATAGATGTTATTAAACAATAAAAAAATTGAATATAATTTACTCGGTCTACTCGATTTGACGCATTTATGCAAAGTTAATTCATTTAAGATAATATTAACTTACATATTTTTATTTTAAATATTTATAAAGCTAAATTTATAATTAAAATTGCGCTATCTTCTTGTACAATATTAGCAAAAATTAATCGGAATTAAATGACTGTATGATGTATTTCCAAAGTGAACCCTAACCAATATTAACAATATTTCAGGAAACGCGAAAAACTATATTTTTTATTCAAATTGTAAAATCAAAACCTGTTTTTTAAAAATAGATTAAGAAATTCTTTATTTGTGGAAAAAAATCAGAAATTCACTGGTTATTCTTAGAGAACATTGAAACTTGAGTAGAGTTCCTTTTGAAAAGAAATAAAGTCAAAGTCCGTTTTGGACAAAAAAAAAAAAAAAAATGATTGGTTTGTTTTAAAGAGAAAAATAGTGTCTGAGTCGGGAATGAAGAGTCATATACAATTAAAGAATGTTTTACAATAAAAATTGTAATATAAAAAATTTACTTTTTAAATACAATAATGGGACGATAAAATTTATTTATTTTTAACTTTGAATGAAATGTTAAAAAATTTGTTGAATTTTTGTTTTTATAAAATGTAATTTTGATTAGATTTTCCTCGCCAAAATGCTGGTTTCGAAAAAAAATTTATTTTCACGCAACTTTTTGTTTAATATTTCGTTTTCGAAAAAAAAAGTGAAAAATCTGGTTCGTTAGTTGTTTTTATATTGGAATCGATACATACTTCAGTTTCGATAAAAATCGATTAGGTTTCACTTTGGAAATAAGAAATATCCCAGTCAATTCAAACATTAAAGGTGTGAATACAAATTATCAGATGACTATATTTAATATGTCTAGGACGCGACTAAAAAGGAGATGGACGAGAGATCTTTTGAGAATGAAGGGATTGAATCAAGACTGGTAAGATGTCCTACTAAATAAAATAAAATATTATTTTCCCCAGGGGTTCCCTTCCTTTCGTAAGATGTGGCGCAAGTCGTTGTTTATTGACATAATTGTTTGATCGTATGTAAACCACAATAGTTGTAATTGACAATTATTGTCACGATAGTAAATTCAATATCTAGTTGAACTAGATTATTGATCGTATCAAGGCAAGTGGGCTGAGGTGGACAGAACATGTGGTGAGAATGGAGAATGGACAGGTGCAGAATAAGATATTAGAAGTGCTCTTCTGTAGGAATACGAAAAGAGGAAGTTCGAGAAGCAGATGGAGATTACTTGCGAAGATTGTGATAAAACGCAAATAAAATAAAAAAATAAACTAAAAAAATAAAACGCATCATTAGATATATTCCAAAAGTTAATCTATATCAAAAGTTAATTTTATTTGATTAAATAAAGCATTCAAATTTTTTAAAAAAAGTTATATTCATTCGGAGGGACGCCAGTCGGAAAATTGGGCCGATATACTTCTTTATATACATAAAAAGCTACTTTGAGGGAGTGGGAGTAAGTTTAGGGCGTATTTAATGGATTTTGAGAGAAGCCTTTTTAACTACCGTAAAAAGAATGAAGGTGGCTTCAAGAAGTAATATCGTCAATTCGTGCCTTCTCAATTTCAAGGATGGTTCATTTATTTTCATATTTAAAGCTTTTAGAAAACAGGAATGAATTATGAAAAATGTATTTTAAGATTAAATACCACTCCAAAGTTTTATATGATGAGTTTTGTATTCATACTTTATTGGAAAAGACCTCACGATTTTTTATGGAATTCATTGAGTGATTTTGGTTGAAAAAAATGCTTTCAATTTATGACACTAGTTCCTGAAAAAAATGTAGGTATAATATAAATAACGCTGCGGCCATAAAAATGTCATCACCCAGTAAGCATATTATTAAATTTTATTTTTTAGAGTGCTACTAATGGGAGATCCTCTACAGGCATTTGCATGCCATTGTGTTTCTCTATATCACATTTATTGGATGTGTATTTATTTTTATACAGTTGTAAATTTACTGAATAAAAAAAAAAAAATTTTTTTACCCGATTACTATCTGCAAAATCTTCGGATATTTCTTTGCCAGATTTGAAACGATATTCTAAAAACAACAATCGCTCCATTAAGTGGTCAAATTGTTCGACTATTTTATTTTCTTCCCCCCCGTCCCTCTCTTTAGTTTCATGTTGCCCTTTTTATTTTTTTTTAAAGAAAAACTTCTTTAGGCGTGTTCTGCACTTTTTTGTGAAAAGTGAATTAGATTGAGGCGTCATATTTCCGATGTGTGACGCTCGAGTAAAGTCGGCTGGAGTCGACTAATTGAAGTGTTTTTACATTTGGATTAAAATATCTGAATAACTAAAAATCGGTCCTGCATATTGTAAGCAAGGAAATTATTCATCATTTCATCCTCTCTGTAATGGGTTATTATTCAAAGTTGTATCTTAACGCGACGCAGTGCCAGAAAGGTCGAAATAGTCTCGAAAACCAAATGATAACCAGTTTTATGGAAGATATGGATTAAAATATCTCAGAAACTAAAAATCGGAACTGCACACTGTAAGCGAGGAAAATTTTCAACATTTCATCATCTTTATAATGAGCTATTATTTATAATTTATATTTCATATTATTATTCTCACCTTATTGGTAGTGTTGCCCAAAATAGGTCTTGGTCTTGCACTTTGGCAACCAAGACCAGGAATGGTAAAAAAAATCGATTTTTTAAATAAAAATTAAGGCAAGGTAGTTACTAATACTCGACAATTTTAGTACAATATGTTAATAATTGGTATAACCAATATACTTTTGCATTTAACTCCTCTAATTTCTCATTCGGGCTTAGTTAGGTTTCTCCTATCTTAAAAATTACAGTAATACCTCTACAGTAATAAGCTAATAAGTAACTGCAAGACTAATGCGAGAGTCTTGCGCAAGACCAAGACTGAATTTGCAAGACCAAGACTCGTCTCGGGGCAACACTACTCGTGGGTGTTTTTACTCCTTTCGTATGGTCTAAAGCACACATCTTAGTTGTTTGTTTCTTTCTCAAAACTATGATTACCGTTGATTGGTGGTACCCTCTCCTCGTTACTATTTCCTATGAAAATTCCTTCACTTCATATAAAGTCACGAATTTAATATTTTCTGACGATGACAGTTTTTTTTTTTTTTTTTTTAAACTGGTCATAATTACAGCTTTTATCCTGGCATTAGTTTAATATGAACTGAGAAACATTGTTAAAGTTTTTTTGTAACCTAAATAAGTAAACAAAAATATTCAATGGAATCAACGTTGTCAATATAAGAATTAAAATAAATAGGTGTTGTAATTTCTATGACTTGACTGTATGTTTTTCTTTATTTTTTTCATAACTAAGAATTATGATACTATATACGATATCAACTAAAGTTTTTTTTTCTGTGTTGAATTCGACCATAAGGAATTAATTTGTGACGGACTGTTTGAACTGACGGTGGTAGGGAAATCGGCCCGTGACAGGCTGGGATGGGAGAGAAACTCTTCATGGTCTTCTAATTCAATTAAGCTTCTTTTTCGTCGTGGAGGTCATGAGTTCAAGTAAGTAATGAACCCACTGCGCAACTCCTTATTGAAATAACCACGAAAAGTTCTAAACTATTAATATGGTAAGGAGATTAAAATAGAGAAAATTATCTGAAACCTACAAAAAAGTATGTAGAAGAGATAAAGATTTTCTCCGTTCTGGATAGAGATGATATGTACGAAGATCTATATTCCAATTAATGAGAATATATCAATTGCGATAATTAATTAGAACCTTGGTTTGTCAGACCCAAGGAGTGTTTAACCTATTGATTTCACTCGATCAACAAATGGAGATAAACCATGCGGTTGAATCTCTACCAACACCTCCTCAATTACAGGAACTGTTGGATAACTCTCTATATGCTGTTGGATAACTCTCTATAATTAATAGTGATAATCTTAATTAATTAGTTGGTGATGACAATTAATTGAAGTGGTGTGTTATGTTTATTACTGATTCTAATTGGTTTAACGAGTAATTAAGCCTATTTATAACAACTAGTTATTAGTTATGTATCAATTAAAAGCCATATGGTTTTGTAATTAAATTATAATTAAACCCTCATGTTTTTTTTTCTATTAGCTTTGCAGTTCTTTCCACGATTTATTTTAATTTTAAAATTTATCAGGTGATATCTTAACAACTTTTGCAACTCTCGAAATTCTATAGAATTTTGAAGGATGCTCTATCAATCTAGATCTCTAGTCTTCATTTCATATGTTGAAATCACTGAATAATAGGTTTCTCTTCTTATTTAATTATTTTTCAACCGTTAAATAAATTTATTAAAATACCATGAGGTAATACTTTTTAAATAAGATAGAATAGTTAATACCAAATTATTGTTGGTTTGGACATGTCAACAGAAAGGCATCTGAAACGTCACTTAAATTAATTATGTTATGGTTTCGAAAGAGTAAGGAAGGAGGAAAAACAAACTTCGAACAAAGGAGAATGGAAAACAATTTGGATGTCTTTAACCTGACTGTGAGTAAAACTATATTTATGGAATAGCTTCATTCCCTCCAACATATTATAAAGTTTAGATAGTTTTAAGTATTAGAAGATGTAATTTTAGTCCTGTGGGATTGAGTTAGTAACTGTTTGAAAGAAGATGTACGGTTGTGCAAAACTTATACATTTAAGATTGTTATAAACTACCAATTGCTGACTTTGCTATTTGAGACTAATTCCATTATATGATCGAGGTTTGGGAATCTTTTAAGTTCAACTTTATAAGTATAGAAAATATATTTATATAATACATATTACATTAAAATACAATTACAAAACATTGACTTTGGCTGGACAAAAACCACTATTGACTTACTTTACATTCTTATTCTAACTCTCTCACTTTACTAAATCTAAGGTGGTATCAACAACTAATTCAGTAGGCTTGTATGCCTCAGAATATGATGGAGTGAATTTTATGAAAAAAATTTGTCTCGGCATTTCTCGATCTGTGATTCAAAGGGTAGTGCCAATTTCATATTTCAGATCACATTTCCACATACTCCAGATAATTAAATTGCTTTGATATCGAAAGTTCTTTTCCCAGCGTGTTGCTAAAACCTTCCAATTTTTAGAGCTTTCGGAAAATATTCTACTCTCTCACAAAGTTAATCTTATTCCAAAATTATCATCCTATCTACAGTGCCTGAGGATTTTATGGCGTTGACGGTTACGTAATCAGAAGAACAATGCCTTAGGTTGGTTGAGAATAAATTATTTCTTCTTCAAATATTCACTCTGTTTAAAGTTGAATAGCCCGATGAACGGATACGAGTGCTGAATATGGAACTTCAGGATGATAACCCTCAACTCGAATTTGTTTCTGGAAAGAGTTTTATGGAGAGGAACACATCTATTGATTGAGGTAGCATTTAAAAAGAAAATGTTCATAATAATTAAATCTTTATTTAAAAATCATCATAGAAGAGTAAATGACATTCAATTCAATAAGGGTGTGTTGCAGTACTTGATTCCTTATCCTTAAACAATGTTGATACAAAGATTTGATATGGTCAAGTTCTCGCTTAATTACGCGGTTTTTCATGATAAATTTTATGGAGATCCCAAATTTATTCGATTTAAATAAATTAGCATTAATATATCCAATTTTTCATTAGAAAAATAAGTACTTATCATATTTCCCATCTTTTATTCATATTATTTCTTTGTACCTTGTTCTGGGCCTGGTGTCTTCAAAGATGCCCAGGAAAGGATCCTGGATATAATTTTTAGAGGGGCAGAGCTAGGTTTTTATTTTATTTTTTTATTTTTATTATTATTAAGTATTTTTGTTGGCGGTAATTACTATGGAAGAAACTATATAAAATAATGTATAAGTGGTTCTTAAAAAATAAAATAAAAATTAAAAAACTGTGTTTATAGGAACAATAATACTTTTAGAAATAATGTTTTTATACTTTTTTCTTGACACTTGCTTGTATTTAGTTGCTGACATACATGCGACATAATTTAAATACTATACATATGTTGATTGTTTTAGCATATAGCACAGAATACTCACAGAAACAAATATAGACCAATGAAAAAAAACTTATTTTCCAGTTTGGAGAGACTTCAGTGCAAAAGCCCTTTCCCTTCGCGGAACAGTCAGTGAAAACTACAAAAGATTTTTTATAGTACATTTAAGAATAGTAATCTATTAAATATATTCAAGTTGGGCCTTTTTCTATTTATACTATTAAGATATTACACGCGTCGGCAGTCCCGCGTAATAGAAATGGTCCAGCTGTTTCTATTTTCGTCCCTCTAAAACAACTGCTCTCATTGATTTAGACTAATCCTCGACTAACTGTGTATTCTAATCCTGTCTAATATTGTAATGCCCTGGAATGTGGACCGAATCCTGTCTCCATTCATATTTACTCCATTCATAAAGCGGCCCTAAGTCCGCATTGAACTGTGGGTTTATTGATAGTGAAGATTGGATTTACTATATGTAAATCTGTGAATCACACATTCATCTTTATTTCGCTTTTTCCAAATTGAGTCAAGCCACAACAGAATTTAGGATCATTAGTTGACACATGTTTAAAGTACACAAAATTTGTTTGACGTATAAATTTGTACCAATTAAATTGCTTTAAAATATATGGGAAAACTTAAAACATCATCCCTTTACACCAAGTAGTCCGTTTTTGATGTAATTTCATTATCTTTCAAATAAGCCTATTCACAACCGTACATTTTTTGAGTAATTCGCAGACAACATTTATGTCATAACTTTATTGCAGCTCCTTTTCGAGCAAGTTTAATAAAAAATTGCTGATGCCGGTTCGGCACTAGACTCTATAGCGGTACAGATTTTTCGACCGCCATTTTGAAAAGAAAGGGCGGATGATAATGTCAAGTTTGGAGGATTGGGTGACTGATACCAAATCTCAAAACAATCGGTTCAGTATTTCGGAAAAAAAAGGAGACGACGGGCAGACGATTTTTATTATATTTTCATTTTCTACGCATATTGAAACCTCGAATATTAATGATGTATTTATACATCAATCAACATTTAAATGATAATGTATTTATATATTAATTAGGCACTTTATATTGTCAGGTTCAGCTTTCTGTTTTCTCAACAGAAACACAAAGCTTATTTTCATGAAGAATTTAATATTTTTTCATTTTTTAATTCTTTATTGATCTCTTAAAAGTTTATACTGGTCTATCAGTGCAAATAGCTTTAAGTGTCTTGTCATAGTGTTAATTTTTTTGTATATAGTTTCGTTTGTTTTGTATATAGAATGTATAATATATGGTAATATTTTCTTTATATTATTTATTTTTACTTTCCTACCTATACTAGTTTTCTATTGATTTTATTTTCGCTAGATATAATCTTTTAATTTTGTTATTCTCAAAGGGACTGTGTTCCAGAATAAAGTTACTTTTCTATCCATCTATTTATCTGAATATTAAGAGGGTTAAATTACAAAGGTTTGTTATTGAAAATAATAAATTAAATATCTGAAATTCCATCAGTGTATTAAAAAAAGAAGTTATGAATTGTCCTTTGCCCCCTTAATCGATAATAAACTGGATAGACCACTATGCTACCAAGCTACGTTTATTCAGTATATTGTAATAAAATTACAGAATTGCCTAAGAATTTATAAGATGCTTTCTCTGTAACAAAAGTAAGGAAATTGTATAAAATAATTCAGTTAAATCTAAATCAGCATTACATTTTACTTCTATTGCAATATCAATAAAAAAATATCTCCAAACAAAAAGTATTTTTTCAATTTTTTTTCCTTATCCCCTAATTGATGTACGAAGAAATTGGTTGTGTGGATTCATTGGGATGAAAAATTGGTGTGCTAGTGGGAAATTGTGTCGGCCATGTTAGTTAGTGTATGGGTTATCCAACTTGGTAACGCGGTATCGCGAGGCGAAGCAAACATATGTCAATGGTAATCAGGGAACAGGACTCGGGGGGGGGGATGGGTAACCGAGCTAGCTAAGGCTCGTGTAAAATACGCTGTCATGACAGCAAATAGCCCATACAATCATCCTTACATCTATATACATATATTCTTATTAGTTGTTTAATATTTCCTCTTTTTTTTTTTTATATATATTTCCTTCCCTTTATATTTTTGGTCAATTATTGAAATTGATATTGTCTTCCGACTGTTATAATTCTCTCAATCCAAACGTTGATTCCCATCGGCTCTCTCAAGATGATAGCAGTTTCCAACAATGCCTACCAAAATAAATAAAATGTCTGAACCGGAGTGCGGTCAAATTTAATATTGTTTCATTTCTTTATCCATGACGCTTGAATTCTAGCGATGGATAATATAAAAAAAAACTTGTTGGATTTTCAAATGAGCGAGCTAAAAACCGCTAAAGTTGTCATTTTTTTGCCGTAACGATTTTACGACTTAAGTGTTTACAAAAAAAAAAAAAACTTTAAAAGCTTTT